GCACCAACCTCACGGTGGAAGCTACACACATAACGCTTCCAATGATTATATCCAGGACCGGTTCTGGGCTGTCTGCTAGATATTTGGCCGTCCTCGCCCCATTATGTGAATCGCGAGTAGATTTATAACTAACCCGACCGATAGGAATTTACTGATATGTTTTTATGATAGTTCTGTATAGTTGACAAGAGTTTTAAAAAATCCATTAAAATATTTGATATATTTATTCTGCTTTTATTCTGCTCTCCCATCTTGTATTACAGATGTCAACGTTAAACTAGTGATATTACGATTTAGTATGTCCCATCTATAAGGGGATGCAGAAAAAAACGTGTACAATTCTTGTACAATGTTTAAAAATTAACTGTTACTTTGGCAGCATCATTTACAACTAAATTTAATGAATGGGATGCACAAGGTACTGTACAAAAAAAGCTCTAGAATTTATATTCCTTGAATTTACGATTTATGTATTCGTTGTCATAAAAATTGGTCTTTCCACTTCTTTTCCAAGACTACAAATATTCAAGTACAAAGTAACAGGTCTTAATTTATTTCTACTAAATAATTAAGCGATTAGGGAATTAGGGACATAAATAAAATCCTGCTGAAAGAGCCGGAATTTTTCTTAAAAGCTTAACCGAACCAATTTCTAGCCGAGTACAGTGCGGACCGACTTCTTCGTAATATTAGATATAATAAAGATAGAAATTTTTCCAGTTCAATGAGAGTGGGCTAAAAGTTGTAAATTTTGGAAATTTTCGTGGACCCTGCTCCTAAAATGAATTAGTAAGAAAGCAAATGACGGACAATCTATTAAGTTTAATATATTTAGATCTTTACAGCTATGGCGAGAAACGTTTAAAATTTACAACCCTGTCGCGTCCTTTGAGGTATACTAGTGATGCCACAAAAGAGGCATTTGACAATGATCTGTATCGGCAGCCTCGGGATTTGGCAGCCTGCGTGCATGCACCTAGCAGGACCGTCTCTGATTCCACTCGTAGGGAGCTATTTGACTAAGTGCTTTGTTTTAAGATTTAGAAAGTAAAGAAGATTTTATGTTTCTTCTGATTCTATGTCACGACTTGGTGCATTTATAGACACTTGGCAAATAATTCCATCACCTACATTTACTTCTTACAGAAACGCGTTTCGGGCTTTCGCCCCTCTTCAGTCTGTTACGTCGATAGTTGTGACTTGTGTGTCCGTACTTCCCGCTCCCTTCCCCTCCCCTCTTTTTTCCCGACTTGANTTTAGCTCTTATATTATGGCTAGCGATTTAGAATGTAATCGTGATATTGAAAATTTATTTCAAAAAAGTTTTGGCTCAAGACGATATAATGAAAAAGAAAACATTATTAAAAGAGAAAGACCAATGCCTAAATTAAATTTAAATACGTCAACAAAAAATTTGTTCGACATTTTCACGATAAAATTTATGAAGACATAAAATGGCTTTGTGGATGCATAGAAATGCAAAAATTGTTTTGTTGGCCTTGCCTGCTATTTTCAAATAAAATTAGTGTGTGGAATAAGAATGGCTTTGACGATTTAAATAATTTGAGTAAAGCTGGCAAAAGACACGAAAATCGTAAATCTCGCATCGATTCTTTCGTAAAATTGAAGCAATTTGGAAATCAAAATAGAATAGAATTTAACATTTGTAAACAATATAAAATAAATATTGAAAATTATAACAAAGTTACGGCTAATAGATATATCTAAATTAGTAGATGTTATCGAAGCAAGAACTGGCATTTAGAAGGCATAGGGAATCTATTGAATCTAATATAACAGAGGTAATTATATTGAACTTGCTTATTTATTAAGTGCGTTGGATAATCTAATTAAAAATACATTTAGAGAAGTCTACGGTTTTTACTGGCTTATTGAACAAACGAATACGAATGGATCCTAGACCAGGGGTGGCCAACAGTTTTTGCCCCCGGGCCGAATTGGAAAGTAAACTTTTTTTACGGGGCGAACCAGAGGCTGCCCTAGGAAGATTTTGAGGTAGTGCGAGATCTCATTTGGTGTCACCCCGTAGAGATTAATTAAATTGTACGTAGAGATGACAGATACATTTTTCACATTATCATGCGTTATGAACATTCTATGCTGTGCTTAAGACATTTGTAATGGAGCGTTAACTCTAGATGCAGTGAATTGTTGACCTTTTTTTTTATGCGTCAGAATTTTTCGTCGAGCTATTCGGACTTGAGTAACTGATAGTGAGAGATTAGTCGCGGGGCGCATCAATTCATTAGGCGGACCGTATGTTGGCCAGGCCTGCCCTAGACCTCCACTGACTGATTGCCCCTGGAAGTCGGTTTCTTACAGAAACACAGCTTCCCTATCATCAAATGTCACGGCACGCCACTGTTATACAGTATCTTTCTTAAATAAGATTGAACTGAGGCCTACTGTAGACTTGGGGCCATATTCCGGCCACTGTCTCTGGTCTCTCGTCTCTCACAAGCCGATCGCTGATTGGCTAAGCCAAATGATTAGCTAATCAGTGACCGGCTTGTGAGAGACGAGAGACCAAAGACAGTGACCAGAATATGGCCCCTGTTCGCGCCATACTGCCCAGCAACATTAGGCATCTGCCCCCTGTGCTATTATATTCTCACCTTTCGAAAAGAAAAACAGAAGCAAAACTTAACGAGTGCCTATCCAACAGTCTCGCGAATACGTAAGAGAATTGTTTTTGTCAGAAAAATAAAAGGCTGGAATTACAGGAGCGTTTCAAAGTTCGGAGGAATACTATCCGATCGGTATATACCGGATTGAGCGTCGATATCGACGTCTCCCGCACTCCGAAAAGTTTTGAATTGTTGTCCGAAGACAAGGGAAGACCAATTGGTATTCATTATTTTACGTCGCTTCTTCTTGTGTTTGTTCTGTGGGGTGTCCGTTATCCGATCATGTGTTCGTTGTCCAAACATAAAAATCTTTCGCGAAAGTGTTCGCGATTTGTTCGTTAACCACTATATTGTATTAGTGACCTTTTATGTTAAGGCTTATACGATTAGTTATTAATTTTAAAATAATTTAATTACTTTTATAATTTATGAATGGTAGGTTTTATAAAAAATTGTAAATGCTAATAACGAGTAAAATCGTCATAATCCAACTCTGACTCTATTAATTTAAAGAGTCACGACCCCCTTTCTTTCCTCACTCCCTCGATATTTAATCACATTTTTTACAAAAATCACGATCGCCATACTCTTCTTCTGTATAACAGCCTGGAAAATAAAAATTTGACTGTCATCCGAATTGTCATAAGTTTTTACTTGAAGTACAGTAATTGTTTTACAGTGGTTTATTAGATCCAAGGAGAATTACATACATTACTGTATATTTATATATTACATAAATACAGATGTACAGTGCAGTATCGTGGATTAAAAAACTAATATATTGCCAAGGACGTCAAAAACATTGCTACAGCTCTGCTCATGTATAAAAATCTAACTTGCCACATGTATGCATCGCTCCTTCCAACGTGTCGAATATTTATTTGCCTTTGCTACTGACTTGCCGCTTTTGTTAGCTAATAATAATATGTAGACCATTTTAATGTCAGAACAATAAAATATATCTCCTGCTTGAAAGTGTGGCATTGCATCTAATTGGCATCTTTTCGTAGCCATTTGCGGTATGGAATGGTTTAATAGTCTACATTTTTCCGTTGAATGTACAGGTACTGTACGCCGCCATCTCTCGTCTATGCCGCTGAAAACTTGTAAGTGGAATCAAGTTTTTGGCCGTCTACTTACCTTTCTGGTAGATCCGAAATCGAATATACATTGGAATATGTATATACTGTACAGTACATTTGAATACACCTTGGTTACGTCCGGCCCTGTCCCCAGGCCCGCCGTAAGCGGGCGTGCAAGGCGTGCACTGCACGCGGGCGGCACGTCCAGGGGGGCGGCAAAGAGCCTTTCTGGCAAGCTCAGCGTAGGTAGTCGTAGTTAAACAGGGGGCGGCATAATCGGTATTGCACACGGGCGTTCAAACAGCTGGCGGCGCCCCTGCCTGTCCCTTACCAATCGTCCATTCCATTGAGAAAGTGCCTTCCGAACCCATTGTGGGTAGAATAGAAAGGTGCTCTAAATGGTGAAATAAAAATGAAAAATAAATATAATTTTTGTTCAAACACCAAAATACGTGCAAAGATAAACATTTTAAACAGCTTTTATAATTGTAATTAGAACTGCAATGAAAAAACCACCATATGAACAGAAGGGGAGAAAAAAAATGTGTTTATTTTCTTATAAACTAAATAATTTTCTATTGATTAAAATAATAATGCGCGATTATAAAACTGTCTGTGCTTAAATTAAAAATGTTGCCATCAGTGATTAAGTTGTAAAGTTACGCCATCTGAGAGTGAAAATTCTTATGAAAATATAACGTTTCCAAGATTACTGACAAGTTACGCCATCTGGAAGCTAGAAAGATCAATTTTTAATTTATTTAATACTGTATTTTTAAAAAGGTTATATATTGTCTAAATTCGCATATTCGCAAACATTTTTAACCTGCCTCAAATATTAATGCTGATAATTATCTATATTTATAATTTTGCATATTATATACAAGAGCTTTACAAGTTATGTATTTAATTACAAAGCATACAATTTAATAAGTGATTTGAGGATTAAAAATTTCAACATTTAAATATTTTACTATTACAACTTTCATATATTAAGTAAAATAATATATAACAAATGTTTATAAATCAATAAAATTAAAAATATTTTGGAGAACTTAATATAAATAACATTAAACTTTACATCATGTATTACTGTATTTACATAATAAAACTATACTTCAATAATTAAAGATTTATTTTAATTAGAAATAAATTTTTTTATGATTATTTTTTTATGTAAAAAGCTACAATATACATCAATACATCTGAAAATTACATTTTAGAAATTTTAACAGTTCTCAATGTTTAACATTGAAAATGACTTGTAAAGTTTTTATATGTAGGATTTAAAAATTTGTAAATACAACAAAGAAAATGAAATTGTATATAGAAATATTTTAATTTATTTTAAAGTTTTCTTCAAAACCTTAACATGTTAAAGACTAGAAGAAAAGGATATTGGTTTTAATAGTTGAATAAATTGATCTGATGCTTCGATTTCCTGTTTTTCCACATACATACAGCTAAATTCTTCTACCTTATCTAAAAAATATCTATAATTTACCATCATACCACAAGAATTGTCAAGACCTCTAGGTGAAAGATCAGCTTTCCAGTTTAGTCTCCACAGAACTGCACCATTTCTTAGATGGAAGTTAGCAACATTATTTAATGCATATCCACGTCTTTTTTCTTTATATAAATAATGAGCACAAATTCTCATTAAAGGAATATGTAAAATGTTAGAAAGTATTTCATCATTTATCCAACTATTACTACTTAATAATTTTTTTAGTCTTGGGATCACAGAATATGTATTTTCCACAAGATGTCTCTCTAAAATAGAAAGTTCATCATTTGTAAAAAAGTTTTCTACAGTTTGTTCTTGTTTCTCATATTTTTGAATTTCAAGCATAAGCCAAGTTTTAAATCCAGGAATAGGCGAGAGAGTCGAAAACTGAGTTAGATGAGGAAATTCTGTTAAAATTTCTTGTACAACTCTTTTTATTAATTGTGTTCCCAATTCGATTCCTTGTAATCCTCTTTGAGTTGATGTAATTGAATAAAAAATTGCTGCACTTATATTTTTTGGATCTTCTAATCTGTTCAAAGTTAAATTAATATCTCCTTCAGAGTGCATTCTTTGATTAATGACAATTGATTGAATTGACGAGGCAATCTCATTTGTAAGTGCCGTATGCAGTACGACTACCGGTTCTTTAGGCATACTACTGTGAGTGAATACATAGCATCGGCGATACAATCCAACTCTGCTTTTGAGGTCGGTCCAACTTCTCATGGGATGGACAGCTTCATATTCGGATATTTTCTGTAACATGTCACAGGACGAATCCCAAGTAACCCTTTCCAATTGCAAAAATCCAACCGAAAACCATAACGAAAGAAGATCACGTAGAGTCGCATTTAATGCTTTTAACTGATAAAAATACGGATGAATATTATCAACCAGAGCTATCAAATCCAACAAATCAGTACGCAAATNGCATTCAGTTCTATCCAGGACTGGTTCTGGGCTGTTAGCCGCCTGCCTGCTAGATATTTGGCTGCCCTCGCCCGATTATGTGAATCATGAGTAGATTTATAACTTAACCCAACTGATAAGAATTTACTGGTATGTTTTTACAATAGTTCTGTATAGTTGACAGGAGTTTAAAAAAATCCATTAAAATATTTGATATATTTATTCCACTCTCCGATTTTATATTACTCACAGATTTCAATGTTAAACCAGTGAGATTACGATTTCGTATGTCCCATCTCTAAAGGGATGTAGAAAAAAACGTGTACAATTCTTGTAATGTTAAAAAATTAACTGTTACTTTGACAGCATCATTTACAACTAAATTTAATGAATGAGAGTGATGCACGAGGTACAGAAAAAGCATTAGAATTTATTTTTGTTAAATTTACAATTTATGTATACGTTTGTCATAAAAATTTGTCTTTCCACTTTTTTCCCAAGACTACAAATATTCGAGTATAAAGTAACTGGTTTCGACTTATTTCTACTTAGTTAGAAGTAGTTAAATAATTAAGTGATTAGGGAATTGAGGACATAAACAAAACCCTGATGAAAGAGCCAAAATTTTATTTAAACAAAAGCTTAACCGAACATCTCTAGCCGAGTAAAGTGGAGACTGAGTTCTTTATATTATTAATCAGCAGTGTGCCGTGACACTTGATGATAGGGAAGTTGTGTTTCTGTAAGAAGCTGACTTCCAGAGGCGATCAGTTAATTCCTTAAATGTATTTTTAATAGATTATTTATCTGACGTAATTAATAAATAGTTATTAATGAAGTTCAATATAATTACCTCTGTTATTAGATTCAATAGATTCCCTATGCCCTTTAAATGCCGATTCTTGCTTTGATAAAAACATATACTGTATTTAAATTAATAGATGTTATATCTATTAGCCGTAACTATCTTGTTATAATTTTCAATATTTATTTTATATTATTTACTAATGTTAAATTCTATTCCGCTTTGATTTCCAAGTTGCTTCAAATACGAAAGAATCAACAATTTTTCGTATCTTTTGCCAGCTAAATTGTCAAAGCCATTCTTATTCCACACACTAATTTCATTTCAAAATAGTAGGCAAGCCAACAAAATAATTTTTGCATTTTTATGTATCTACAGAGCCATTTTATCATGAAAATGTCGAACAAATGTTTTTATTGAAGTGTTTATATTTAAGTTAGGCATTGGTCTTTCTCTTTTAATAATGTTTTGTTTTTCATTATAAGATCTTGAGCCAAAACTTTTTAAAATAAATTTTAAAGTAAACAAATGACTATTAAGTTTAACATATTTAGATTTTTACATCTATGGTGAAAACGTTTAAAATTTCTTTATTATATCACCTGTAGTAATAGTTTTTACTACAGGTGATATAATAAAGAAATTTTGTTCTTTCCTGAACTAACTCTCATTGCTGTGTCAATCTTTAAACACCAGTATTTCAGAAACTATTACTACAGGTGATATAATAAAGAAATTTTGTTCTTTCCTNAAATGAAATTGTATATAGAAATATTTTAATTTATTTTAAAGTTTTCTTCAAAACCTTAACATGTTAAAGACTAGAAGAAAAGGATATTGGTTTTAATAGTTGAATAAATTGATCTGATGCTTCGATTTCCTGTTTTTCCACATACATACAGCTAAATTCTTCTACCTTATCTAAAAAATATCTATAATTTACCATCATACCACAAGAATTGTCAAGACCTCTAGGTGAAAGATCAGCTTTCCAGTTTAGTCTCCACAGAACTGCACCATTTCTTAGATGGAAGTTAGCAACATTATTTAATGCATATCCACGTCTTTTTTCTTTATATAAATAATGAGCACAAATTCTCATTAAAGGAATATGTAAAATGTTAGAAAGTATTTCATCATTTATCCAACTATTACTACTTAATAATTTTTTTAGTCTTGGGATCACAGAATATGTATTTTCCACAAGATGTCTCTCTAAAATAGAAAGTTCATCATTTGTAAAAAAGTTTTCTACAGTTTGTTCTTGTTTCTCATATTTTTGAATTTCAAGCATAAGCCAAGTTTTAAATCCAGGAATAGGCGAGAGAGTCGAAAACTGAGTTAGATGAGGAAATTCTGTTAAAATTTCTTGTACAACTCTTTTTATTAATTGTGTTCCCAATTCGATTCCTTGTAATCCTCTTTGAGTTGATGTAATTGAATAAAAAATTGCTGCACTTATATTTTTTGGATCTTCTAATCTGTTCAAAGTTAAATTAATATCTCCTTCAGAGTGCATTCTTTGATTAATGACAATTGATTGAATTGACGAGGCAATCTCATTTGTAAGTGCCGTATGCAGTACGACTACCGGTTCTTTAGGCATACTACTGTGAGTGAATACATAGCATCGGCGATACAATCCAACTCTGCTTTTGAGGTCGGTCCAACTTCTCATGGGATGGACAGCTTCATATTCGGATATTTTCTGTAACATGTCACAGGACGAATCCCAAGTAACCCTTTCCAATTGCAAAAATCCAACCGAAAACCATAACGAAAGAAGATCACGTAGAGTCGCATTTAATGCTTTTAACTGATAAAAATACGGATGAATATTATCAACCAGAGCTATCAAATCCAACAAATCAGTACGCAAATCCACAAGAAATTTAACTCCTTTTTCAAGCCTCCCTATGCGACTAAATAGTTCTTGGTAAGAAGGCATAAGAGCGGTTTTAAGCTTTTCCTCGGCTCTCATTCTGAAGCATTCTCCCTTGTCTTTATTACTCACGATAGTTTGCGACATTTGAAGTACGAGATTATGATCCACACCATAGTACTTTGTTAAATGAATAAATAAGTCTTTTTTTTCTTCAGAAGACAAATTTACGTACTTGATGCAAAACTGTCTGGCTTTGGCATCGACAGACACCGTACTTGCTCCACTAACTATACTTTTAGTGAGATCGTGAATACTTCTGAATTCTCTCGAAACCATTTTGTTTACATGATTTCGTATCTCACCATTATAGGAAATATTTTTTAAAAAATAGAAAAATTTGTTTGCTAGCATGATTTCCAGCTACCATATCAACACTCTGTGATAGAATACAACTAAGAATTGCGCAATCCGACATATATTCTATATCAGTAGTATCACACTTATCTATATTTATATAACGATTCAAGGTTGAGGAAACAATTCCGCAAACTTGTTTACCAATTCACGCCCTCTTGCGGCATATCTTAAATTAATGCTTGTTAATAAAAATTAAATATGTCAATTAATACGGCAATAAATTTATAAAACTAAAATTAATTTTTAATTCGTTTATATTTTAGTGTATTACTGTTATGAATTATTTAAAATATTATTTATACACATTTATTTTATTGTTATTTACTGAATATATTTAACTGAGATGATAAAAATTCAATTGAAAGTTTTGATAATCTAATTAAATATTATTAATAAGAAATAATGAAACGTATTTTACCATTAATTATTAACACTTTTAAGACAACGTTTGTATCCGTGCCCAATTTGCACAACCTGGCATAATGTAGTTATTTGCGGCCGGATGGCCAAGCGGTCAAGGCGGCGGCCTACCGCTCTGGGGGATCCGGACTCGAATCCGAACGGGTCGAAAAATCCTCAGGAATTTTTCGGGAGGATGGACCGTTCGGATATGTCGGGCCCCGTCCCTCACTACCCGCCAGCCCCATCGTGGGCCTGGTCGAACCCATAATGGGCTTGCAAAAAGAGGCCCTCTTAGTGCCCACAGGGCGGAAAGAGTTTAAAAAAAAATGCAGTTATTAATGCTATTGGGCATGGTTAAAAATTAAGACTGCATCGGCGCAATTATTCAAGATATTACAGGTTCTGACAAGTAAAGAATTTTCAGAGTCCTGCCACATGTTGATTATTGACAATCTGTGACATGACATAACAAAAAAAATTTAAAAACTAATAAGCAGGCTTAAAATTAATAAATGCAAATGTATTCTGACAGTTTATGAGTTATTTATACAGTACTTTCTATTTGCAAAATTTCCTCAACATTAGCTCAAAATAAGAAAAAAAACTAAACTTTTAAGAAATTTGCGGGGTTTCCCGGAATAAGAATTTCTCTGGATTCTAGGATTTTCTAACGGGATCCCAGAATCCCGTTAGAGAAAACTTAGTTGCCATGCTGCCACCGAGGTTGCACAATGAAATATTAATTGGCGACCTCAAAGCAAGAGTGATCTAAGTATGGATTTTGGTGTTATAGCCTTAGTAAGAGGAGTTTCCTTAGAAACAACTGCTTTATCTAATGCAATACAGATTTAAGTCGAATTTGTTGTTACACCCCATGCATAAAAAAAAGAAAAGATGGGAAATAATGTATAAAAGTTTCTGTTAACTATCTCACAATTAGGACTTCCTGACCTGGATTATTCTTGCTTTGAGGTCATCAATTAAATTTTAATGCTAATTAGAAGTTTAGACAAATTAAAAATTAAATAAATTGAATGAAGTAAATATTTTTAAAAAAACTTGGCAAACGGTGTTTAATTTTTAAAAATACAAAATTTTTTTTGTATTTTTATAAATAAATTGAATTGCTTTAAATCCAGGTTTATTTTTCCATTTAAAATAAAAATAATTTAGAATTGGTAAGTTACGTAACAATTTGAGAAATTAATGAGGTAATCCTGATAAATATGATAAAATACTACTGTGATCAAAAGGAAATAATTCATTTAAACTGGGTGCGTGCAAGAGGGAGCGATGCTTTCGTCGTTTTTTCCTCGTTTTTACCAGTTTCATAAATATCTAGCAGAAATCTATCTCATCATCTGTTTTCGCTTGCAAATAAATGCCTGTTTTGTAAATAGTGTCCCAAAATTAACGCAGGATTTCAATTTAGCGTCATTTTTCTCCCACTGAGTTGACATCGCCATATGAAATGATATCTTGTAGTAGGCTTGCTGCAGCAGTGAAATTTCCATTTGCTACGTATTTATGGATGCCGCGTTCTCACGCCAATACACCGGCATTAACAGCGTGATTTTGATGCTTATTGTATTTTTTAGGTTGCGCATGCACGACGAAATTCGTTACGTGGTACTCTGGTTAATAATTCATAGTTATATCTTGAATTGAAAACTGAGAATCGATCAGGGGCCACTTTGGGGCCCTAGACATTTTCTTCTTACAGGGCCCCTCCCGGCTCTTTCAATTAATAAATTTTGTTAATATTATTTCTATTAAATCGCATACAGACACTACAGCTGCTTAATAAAAATAAAAGCAAACTTATTTAACAATACGAGGAGTGTTCAAAAAGTATCGGACCTTTGGTCGGCAAAAATACATTTATTGATTTTGAGGTACAAAACCCTAATTTCCTTCAAAGTAGTCTCCTTGGTAATGTATACACTTCTCCCAGCGCTCCTGCCATTGCTGGAAACACTGCTGGAACGCATCTTTTGGAATGGCCATTTTTTAAAAAAATTTTTAGAATTTAAAATTTTTAAAATTTAAAAAATAATAGAGTCCCACATTTACAAAGTGAATTTAAAAAACGGTACAAGAATATGGAAAAAACTTTTGATTTATTCAAAATGGCGCGAGAACGACGGGTCATATGGATTGTGGCTCCATCCTGTTGAAACCAAAAGCCACTTGTATCGTATTCTTCCATTATGAGGCGCAAAAAGTTTCTCTGGCGTGTCGCAGTATCGGTTGGAAGTCACACTAACAGTGACGCCATCCTCTTAAAAAAAACCCACGATGCCTACAGAGGACAAAGCACACCAAACAATGACTTTCGGGCCATGAAGAGGTCGTTGGTGGAATTAGCGGAGTTTCCAGCAGCTCAATAACGTAAGCTTACACGACGAAGCCCCGTTGTTCACCCGACCATGGCATGTTGACTTCTGAAAACTTTATCATTTAGCGGCCGGATGACCGAGCGGTCAAGGCGGCAGCCTACCGCTCTGGGGGACCCGGGCTCGAATCCGAACGAGTCAAAAAATCCCCAGGAATTTTTCGGGGGTGGTCCGTTCGGATATGTCGGGCCCCGTCCCTCACCACCCGATAGCCCCATTGTGGGCCTGGCCGAACCCATAATGGGCTTGCAAGATGAGGCCCTCTTAGTGCCCACAGGGCAGAAAGAGTTAAAAAAAACTTTTATCATTCCGACCCCACCCCACCCCACCATCTCCCATTGGACGACATCATTTTTAAAACCTAACCAAAAAAACCTTATTACATGTACTTTGAACAAATAAATTTTTTTCCATATTCTTGTACCGTTTTTTTTTTTAAATTCACCTCGTAAAAGTGGGACTCCATTATGCCCCACTCTGTATTTATATTGATCATGTTTAATGTTTAAAAATGTTATATACTCATAAAATAGCCAATATTTTTTTAAAACTCTTTGTCCTGTAAGCATCAAGAGGGCCTCTTTTAGCAATCCAATTATGGGTTTGGCCAGGCTCACAATGGTGTGGCAGGGTGGCGAGGGACGGGACCCACCATATCCAGTCGGATCACGTCATGATCCGTCCGGATTCGATTTCCCAGAGCGGTAGGTTGCTACCTTGACCGTTCGGCCATCTGGCCGTCGAATAAAATAATAAATGAATCCGTCAATATGCAAGAAAGATCTAGTTTCGAAATTATGTGTAATTTACTAACTTATTTATTAGTTATCAAATTTTGAAATTTAATAATTCATTCTTCATGAAACTCTATTGCTGGTAATTCAATATCAGCGTAATCTTTGAATTTAAAAACATTACAATTGGCCAATGCTAATAAAATTTTAAATAAATTACACTATCTTAAATTGCATTATTTATTTTAAATGTATTTAATGAAAATTACTAAAAAAATTATTTTAAATTATTTCGCTTCCTAATCATTCATCTCCAAAAATGTTTCAAATATTTATTCCAAAAATGTACATTTATATGCAATGAAAAAAATCTGAGATACACACAAATTTTAACAGTTTGAACATTTCTGCAAAGCATATTATTTACAATTCCAGCCTTTACCCTTACTTTTTATTCATTCGTACTAAAAATAATGTTTTTTTTTGGAAAAAAAAAGATAACGTTCACTTCTCTTGCTCTCCGCTAGAGGCACAATCACTTCAACACAACACTATCAATACAGTATATTCTTAGCAAGTTCACAATTTACTTTTAATACCAGTATGGATAGTATCTTCATTAATTAATTCATAACTATAACAAAAAAATTTTCACGAGTTTAAATTAAATAAAGTTAAATGTAAAAAAAATTGAATGATTCGTTTTGAATATGGTCTTCAAATGAAATCATTCACTTTTTTTTTTATTATTAAACAACAAAAATGTGTGAGTACTGTAATATTAAATATTAATTCTGTTATGATAACAATACTTGGGAAGCGATCGTCAATTATTGACGCAGAATGAGAAAAAAAAGACAAAAAAATGGATAAAATCATTGAACAGTGCTAGTTGGTCATGGGTTCGCGCCTGATCAACGTGCTGGCTCATTGAGTTTTCCGGGTTTTCTTCGTGTGTCTAACACCCAAATAGGAACCAATTATTATAAAAGTACTCTCGGAAATCACCCCTTTGGCAAATTGCTATCTATTGCGTTGTCTTATTCCATCAATCCAATCAAAAAAATAACTCAAATAGAAGTTTATATTCGCGACTAATCCGCTTGTGAAAATTCCATTCCTCTCTCTATCTCAGCCCTTAATAATTTCCCAAATAATAACTTATTTTTTTCATTAAATCTTTTATTTTATAGATATACGAATTATTTGAATGAGCACGCTGCCTGGTAAAAAAAGCGTTTCAATACAACTGAATAAACAAGCCAATGACATAGCCCGTTTCATTCGAAACGAACAACGTTATTGGCTCGCTTACGAACGCGCCGCAGAATTTGTACGAACGTCAAAAAATACTCACTGCTATGCCATCTATCGTCTTAAACTATTATCACGTTTGTTGCAATAAAGTGTTTAGATAGAAATTTTTAATTTTTTAAAAACATGGAACAATTAGAAAATTCACCAAATAGCAAGAAACTCGTCGATAACGAAATTAAATTAACTAAAAAGCAAGAGGAAAGGATAGAAAGAAATCGTCAGAAAGCGTTGTTGTTACGAAAATCACGATTGGCTACCGAATCGTCGCTTAAAAGGTAAAATGATTTAGTTGAAGTTACTTTTAGGTAAATGTGTGTGTGTAATATGTGTACCATTTACTTAAAAGTAACTACTACTTGAATTCTGTTAATACTCAATTCTACTTAAGTAAAATCATATAGTATAGGAATAGATAATCATTTAGTATAGAAACCTGAAACTTTATTCAGTAAACTGACTTAAAAAATGATAAATTTCAGTTTTATTAAAGAAATAGAATGAGTTACAATTTTCATCACATAAAACAACAATTCAAAAACGTTTATCCCAACTTCTAAGTTTTTTAGTATATAAAAGTGGACAAAACTCTTTGAAGATTGAAGAAATGAAATTTACTAAAGTGTTTTGGGTGTTGCTCACAAAATAATCTATTTTGTTTTCACATTTCTGGAAAAGCATTGTTTTATATTGATGGTTTGGATGATGCAGTGTTTCAAATCTTATGAAATGAAAGAGGACATTTATCTGTTTACCTTTAACTGCCTTGTTGATGTACTGTACTTCTTCATATCAAAGCAGTTAAAGGTAAATAGTAATGTAAAGTTGGAGTTAGGATAAAATTAACATTACAGGAAATTATCATTTCTCTACAAGATTTAAGACTACATCATTCTAGCTGTGGAAGAAATAGATTTAATAAAACATTTTAATAATATAACAGATTTAATGTGGAAAGATTTACAATATGTCTACTCTTTCTGATATATCATGTGTTAACTTGATTTACTGTTAGCATTATAATGTTATTACTTTCTCTGAATGAAAGACGGTTGACACGATACTAAACACAAATGATTCAATTTAGTGTGTGTAAACTTAAATATAGAGTAACAAATAATCATAAATTTTTGATTCAGAAGCACCAAAGTACCATAATCTACAGAAGAATGGTTTTCTGAAAAAAATGTTTAACTAAAAGATATACTCTAATGTTCATCAAATGATTATGTATCTGTAATAGATACTGTGGAAGTAGTAATTCAATCTGTTGTTATGAGGAGAAACAAATGCTAAGATTATTATAAGAGTCAAATCTTTTTATTTGTTTAATTAAGCATTTTTCAGGACTTCTCCATCCATTGTCAGACCCTCAAAGTTTGAATCTTAAGTTAGAATGAGAACATCTGTATGTTTGAATGTTCTGAAGAAATTCAAAATTTTAAACAGTTTTTAAAAAATTAGAACAAAATTTTTATTTGATTTAAACATCAGTATAATAGCATTAGGTTTTTAAAAGTAAATCTTTGTTGACATACGAAAACCTTATATAGAATCAACATGCGTCAAGTAAATTTTATATCATAGTTGTGCAAGCTCTTGCAGTATGCAAAAATCTTGAAAACATTTGACTAGTAGAGATGTTTCTATTGTTACTTGTAATAAGCTCATGTATAATTGGGCAATTCATGTTGCTGAGGAAACCGTATACCTAAATCTTTTTTCTGCTGTGGAGTTGTCAGTAGTACAGTACATCTAGATAATTACATGATTATAAGTTATAATGAACCTTTGTATGGAAAAATCTTTTGCTTTTATTGCAGTACTAATTGCCTTTTATTACTAATGTAAAATTTGATTTTTGACACTTATGGGGTTTTTGCATCAATTTTGTAAAATTGATGACATGTACTTTTAAAAAAACTGATGCCATTACACTGAGATGTTTTAAATCAAATGAAATTGAATATTTATTATGGTCTAATAGTCATAATAAATATTGTATTATGTATCATTTATACAAAATGCACATGTTATATAAATAATTTGTACTAAATTTTGTTAGTTGTTTTAAGATCCTAAATTGTAGTTTTATTAGATGGAATTTAAGTTTTGAAACAATATATAGAATAATTAACATTCATTGATTGCTATATTATTTCAGTTGATTGATTTTAATTGAAGTTAATTTAACCATATAAAAGAATTAATATCGATATAATTTCTAGTAAATGAAATTTAATTAACTTGAATGTTATAAATCTATGATCTAAAAATTAATAAATAATGTTGTTTACCAAGAAGGTGCTTAAATGATTAATAACTATTATCAGTCAAATTTATATTAATTTAATTATTTAATTTTAACTTTTAATTTAAAAATATAATGTTTAATTTTGTTTTTCAGTCAATCTTGCAAGGAGCAAACTGTGAAAGTACCTCCTAAATTACAAAATACTGGAGGTGGATTTCTTCTTGAAGAATGTGATGATGAGCCATCACAACCTCAAACAATATACATTGAGCAGGCTCCTCCCATTGAAGAGGATAGACTTCATTGTGAAAAATGTGATGTTGAATTTGTGGATTCCTTTCTCCTCACAAATTTCAACGTTTATATTTGTGACAACTGCAGGTCTGATTGCTCTTACATTTTATTGAGAATTATTAAATTATTTTAATTTCCAATTTTTCATAATTTATATGAATACTTTTCTTTATGGATTTTAAATTATTTGAGATCTATCAGATATTTGTTACAGTGGACTACATAAAATGAATATACATTTTTAATAATCAAAATTTTATCTCAAAGGGAAAATGATGGTTGTCATAAACTTATTACAAGGACAGATGCTAAAAAAGACTATTTGTTGAAGGATTGTGATCTAGATAAAAGAGAACCTCCATTAAAGTACATTGTAAAAAAGAACCCTCACTACAGTAGAGGAGATATGAAATTATATCTGAAATGTCAGGTGATTTACTATTTTATTTTGTTTTATTGTTCTTTAAATTATCATTAAAATATTATTTATTGATGACAAAATTTCTATTCCTTTTAATTAATAAAAGATAAAAATGAAATATATTAGGTAGAAGAAAGAGCCAAGATTGTTTGGGAATCTGAAGAAAATTTGGAAACTGCTCGTGACCAAAGAGCTCAAGATAGAGATAAACGGAAAAAGAAAGCCTACGATAAAAAAATAAAAGGTTTGTTTCATCAGCAATTAACATCTTTTATGTATTATTTTAATTTTAAAAATTATTTAATATTTAAGTTATATTTAAACAAAATACTTTAAATCTAGGTATAAACACTTTCAAATGAAACATAAGTATACAATTAACAATTTTACATATTTTAAAGAAACATTTTTAATAATTTTTCAAAGTAATATTCATTCTACTTCATATTGCACAAATTTAGTAACAAATCTTTGAGGGAAAGCTAATTTATAATATGGCAAGTTTTAAGAAGTGCTTATCTGCATCCATATCACTTACAACAAATGCAGGTACTAAAAGAGGTTGACTTTGTACCAAGGATGCCAATTTTGTTTGGTTACTATTACCTTCAGAGAGATTGTATCATCAACTTCCATAACTTGTATGTATGGCAAGAAGCAAATTTTATGCTTTTATTCAATCCAGACATTAACAGCAGTTTTTTCTGAATGTTTAGGTAGGAATTAATTTATCTGTGGTGAATGACATATTTTATCTATAACTTTATTGAGTGAATGTCAATGCCTTCTTCAAGATATAATTTTCTAATAATTTTTGAATTTCAATTTACTAACATTCAAGAAAATAAATCATTTCTGATACATTGAACAAAGACACAGAAGAAATGAAACTTGTCAATGAAATTGGGCAATAACAATAGAAATAATTTATTTATTTGAATTAAAGAAAGTAAATTTAAAAAATTATTAAAAATTAACAGTTAATTTTTTAACTGTTAACAGATTGTTCTAAGAAAACTTTGAATTTGAATGGTGTTGCCATAGAAATGTGTGTGTATTATTATATGGAAATGTGTGAAATTACACTTGGCCCAGTAAATTTTTTTATGATTAAATGCTAATAGAAATTTAATTTTATTTTGTTATAAAATATGAAAAATACACAAAACATGCCTTTTCTAATGTTTTTCATGCACAATGAACATGAATAAGTACAATATCATAAAAATATAAAGCACAAAAACGAATATTTGAGAAACAATCTCTATTTTCTTTTAGGGAATAAAAACAGTAAAAAAATATTTTAGTACAGTATATAATTTAGTATATAATTTTAATGATTATTCTATTTTTCTTGGATTTGTATTGGTCCATTTATGCAATCTATACTTTATGCATTTATGTGGTAGATTTTCTGTTAAATAAAACTTGATAAGAATACAAGTTAGCATAACATAATCAGAAAAAAATAATTCAAGCCACTTGTTGCAATTTTGCAACATGCCTAAAATTGAGAAAAAAATGTTTTTCAACAATGATGAAAAAATTATATTAAATAGCCATAATTTTTGTACTATTTTGTCCATAAAAAAAAGAGCATGGCTCAGTGTGATATTTTATGCCTTTCTATTGTGGTGCTTAATGTGTTAATCCAAAATGATTCTAACTAAACATGGGAATATTCAAATGCAAAGAGTTGTGAACTATTCAATCATAAAAAAGTTTTCATTTTTTTTGAAAGTTTGTGCTAGGTATTTGAATACTTCTAAGATGCTATCCTTGTGAGTTCACATGATACTAAACAATCAATTTGAGTAGAAAACTGATATCTTGTTCTGCCATCAGAAGTTCTGATTGTATTGTAGTAATACAGGGACCAAGTTATTTTGTGATCTGCCTTTTTGAGGAATATTAATACTCTGCTTAATCATTTACTTCAATCTCTGTAATTATCAACATGTTTATCAGGTCGTTTTCAAGTAATTGTACTAGTTAGCTACTAACTTCTCTGTATGAGTCACATTGGCAGTACTATGTTGACTTATTCTCACTGTTTTCACAAATCAAATTCATTGCTTGTTCTTGAGAACTGAGGTTTTGGAAACTCATTTGATTCTTGAAAGTCATTGATACTTAAATGTATTCAATTCTATTCCTGGTTAATTCAAGAAAAAAAAAAACTAATATTAATAAAGACCCTGTATTAGTTTATCCCTTTTGTCATATGGCCTTCATTTCTCTGATAAGTGTAAAATCATCTTTGGAATGCAATTTTTCCTGCTCTGTGATGACCATTTTATCTGGAGGTATTTTACTTATTTGTATACAAGTGATATCTTAATTTTCTGCCTTATCCAGGTTAAATAATGTTCTTTATACCCAAAAACCTCTTTCTTTTCCACATTGGACAGGTTTCTTGCTTATACAGTATCCAGCAGGAAAATAAACAATTATAAATAGACAGTTATTAACTTTCGAATATTTCTAAACAAATTTTCATGTACTAGATATTAAACAACGTAGTTTGCCATTTATGTTTTGAAGATATTTTCTATTTAATTGGAATTATTACATGAGCTGAGGTTGAAAAAGAGACATTTTTGGAACATGTAAAGATTTGAAAATGTTTTTTCTTCTACTAAACTTGTATACAGGGTAACAACCAGTGGCATGCCGTCATTGGAAGTGGTGGATGCACCGCTTCCCTTGTATTTTCTAAAAAAATAAATACATAATAATTTAATTATATGAAAATAATTGCACAATATTTTATTATAACTGCATTATGTATCTTATTACAAATTTCTATACTACACGTGAAAAAAAAAAAAAAGATTGCTATTATATATTCGAATATTAGTAGCAGAGTGGAAGTGCTGTATCGTCAGCATCCAAAAGGCCAGATTTGCGCATGCGCTTTACAGAGCACCAACCTCACCCGGTTTAGCTGGTGGAAGCCTAGGACCTTGGATGGATGCTACAAGTATAACGCATTCAGTTCTATCCAGGACTGGTTCTGGGCTGTTAGCCGCCTGCCTGCTAGATATTTGGCTGCCCTCGCCCGATTATGTGAATCATGAGTAGATTTATAACTTAACCCAACTGATAAGAATTTACTGGTATGTTTTTACAATAGTTCTGTATAGTTGACAGGAGTTTAAAAAAATCCATTAAAATATTTGATATATTTATTCCACTCTCCGATTTTATATTACTCACAGATTTCAATGTTAAACCAGTGAGATTACGATTTCGTATGTCCCATCTCTAAAGGGATGTAGAAAAAAACGTGTACAATTCTTGTAATGTTAAAAAATTAACTGTTACTTTGACAGCATCATTTACAACTAAATTTAATGAATGAGAGTGATGCACGAGGTACAGAAAAAGCATTAGAATTTATTTTTGTTAAATTTACAATTTATGTATACGTTTGTCATAAAAATTTGTCTTTCCACTTTTTTCCCAAGACTACAAATATTCGAGTATAAAGTAACTGGTTTTGACTTATTTCTACTTAGTTAGAAGTAGTTAAATAATTAAGTGATTAGGGAATTGAGGACATAAACAAAACCCTGATGAAAGAGCCAAAATTTTATTTAAACAAAAGCTTAACCGAACATCTCTAGCCGAGTAAAGTGGAGACTGAGTTCTTTATATTATTAATCAGCGGTGTGCCGTGACACTTGATGATAGGGAAGTTGTGTTTCTGTAAGAAGCTGACTTCCAGAGGCGATCAGTTAATTCCTTAAATGTATTTTTAATAGATTATTTATCTGACGTAATTAATAAATAGTTATTAATGAAGTTCAATATAATTACCTCTGTTATTAGATTCAATAGATTCCCTATGCCCTTTAAATGCCGATTCTTGCTTTGATAAAAACATATACTGTATTTAAATTAATAGATGTTATATCTATTAGCCGTAACTATCTTGTTATAATTTTCAATATTTATTTTATATTATTTACTAATGTTAAATTCTATTCCGCTTTGATTTCCAAGTTGCTTCAAATACGAAAGAATCAACAATTTTTCGTGTCTTTTGCCAGCTAAATTGTCAAAGCCATTCTTATTCCACACACTAATTTCATTTCAAAATAGTAGGCAAGCCAACAAAATAATTTTTGCATTTTTATGTATCTACAGAGCCATTTTATCATGAAAATGTCGAACAAATGTTTTTATTGAAGTGTTTATATTTAAGTTAGGCATTGGTCTTTCTCTTTTAATAATGTTTTGTTTTTCATTATAAGATCTTGAGCCAAAACTTTTTAAAATAAATTTTAAAGTAAACAAATGACTATTAAGTTTAACATATTTAGATTTTTACATCTATGGTGAAAACGTTTAAAATTTCTTTATTATATCACCTGTAGTAATAGTTTTTACTACAGGTGATATAATAAAGAAATTTTGTTCTTTCCTGAACTAACTCTCATTGCTGTGTCAATCTTTAAACACCAGTATTTCAGAAACTATTACTACAGGTGATATAATAAAGAAATTTTGTTCTTTCCTGAACTAACTCTCATTGCTATGTCAATCTTTAAACACTAGTATTAAGTCCTATTAATAAGTAAAGTCCAAGTAGACAATTAACAATAACATTAGAATTTAAAAGGACAGTAAGGCTTTTACAATTACAATTGCAAAAAGATTATTTCAGATGGAAGGCTGCAATAAGGATACGGGACTCTAACAGCCGCACGCATGAAGACCAAATTTGGAAACGGATTTCCAAGTCCAAAAAATGGCTAAAGGATACTAATGTAGTAGTACTCAAGGTGGACAAAAACAAAGCTCTGGTGTTATTAAAGAAGAATACGTACACTTTGATGATGCAAAAATACATCAATAATACCGAGTGTGACCCCATTGATGATGGTTATGTCAACAAACTGCAAGCACATGTAAAAAAGTTTACTCTCAAACACCTTTAGCTAGATTGATGAACCTAAACAGGGCTGTAGTGCCTTTCCCAGACACTCCCAGACTATTTGCGTTTGCCAAAACTCATAAGGAAACACCAGCATTGAGACTGATCCTCGACAAGGCACAATCCCCCACTAGAGAGTTAGACAAGGCTATACACAAGCATATAATGCACAGCTTGAAGGATTATCTATTAAACTTTTGGGTATATTAAATATAGGTTTTTTTTCTTTTTTTCAACTTTTAGTTATGTCTGTGTTTATTTATTATCATCTCCAAATAATAATAATTCCACAAAGCTTGGAT